AGAAATTGTTTGTAAGTCTAAGTAAAAGTACATGCAAGGCATACACATTAAGTTGTTCATATCAGCTATAGCAACAAAAGTAAGTCTAAAATGCTAATCAGAAGAAGAAATGTTTGGTAAATTGTCAGAGGAAAACCAACATGTTAATACTAATCAATAAGGTCTCAAACAAGAACATAACTCAAAATGTTAAACAAAGCTTATCGGGAACGAAGTGTTCTAAGGCGAGCCCTTAAATCAACAGATTAGGTATTCAGGGGCGGGAAACTGACTGGACCGCCCACCTCAGCACCCCTTCCCTGTTCAGTGACTGTGCTTGATGCAGTATGATGTGCATTGGTGTTCTTCAGAGCTGCAGCAAGGTGATTAAAGTCACCCCAATCATCTTGAGAGAAACAGAAGATGGTATTATGACTAAGATATAAATAAGTAGGTGATTTTACTAAAGAAGTTATTACTGTGATTGAATAAGTACCTTAATTTTTCTCTCAAATATCTCTAATATAGTCAAGTTGAGGATTTTCTCACACACAGAACCAAAGCAGTAAGACGAAATGTGCCGGTATTATCCGCCGCATCAAAGGTGAAGTTGACTCTGCATTGTATTGATGTTAGTATATTTTAATTAAGGGGAGTATTTTTTTTGCACAATATAAGAATGCTAAAATACAAAATGTACCTTTCAGTGTAAGTGCATTTTTTTTGTCTGGGCAATGTGAGCAGAAAAATGGAACATTTGCAGCAACACCACATCGCTTACCACAACAATCACAACCAATAAGCAATGATGTTGCTCAACTGTGCATCTGGAATTGTTACTGTCAGTGTGTAAAGTTCTTCTTAAACAGTGTTGTCAACCTAAAAAAAGTAGTGTGAGTTAACAAGTTAAGTTTTGGTAGGAAAGGGATAGGGAATAGTTGATAGAAGAGCTCACAGTTTTGTCTGATGATTTGATCAAGTGTTGTAGGAATTGGTTCAGCACCAACAATCATGAATTCAAGTTGCCTTGCCATGTATTCAGCAATGACATCTGGATGTGCATGGGCCCTATTGACATGAAAAAAGACATGAAGAAGTGCATTGAATTAAGGGAGCTTAAATATCAGTTTATATAATTACAATGTTATTTGAATAATGATCATGAATACTAAGGCTGTTTATTTACCAAGCTCTTAAAGCTTCAACTTTTTCACCAGTAGGCTGGGTCTATTGTTGTAGACATGCTTGACTAAAGTGAAAATCCTGTTAAGAATGCATTAGTATACTTGATTTGGCAGCACATTTAAAGTAATAGATGGTTGGAATTTTGTGTAACCTCTATGAGTTGTAGGCTTTAGAGAAGTTAAGCTTACAACCAAGGGGTTGGATGCCAAATCTTTGATAGTTTCACAGTCTGAGGTTGCAAGCTGACCCCATGCAGAGATGATCATCGGTCTAGTGTCGGTGCTGCAAATGCAAGAAACAGTGAATCATTACCCTAATGTAGTTATATTGATGTGAGTGATGTTGGTATGTTAACAGAGTGGTTACCTTTCATCAACTATGCCGATATCGCGCACATCAGCAACTCCGCCTGACTTATATGTTACTTGGCGCGCATCTTCCATGTGGACCACGACACCAAGCAAATCTAGCAAATAACAAGCCATGGAGCTCATTATGCTTAAGAAATGATATGTTTTGAGGTAGGAATATGTAAGCAAGACAATAGAAGTAGCTCACCAAATCGGTCTTCTAGACTACTGGTTTTAGGAACATCAACAATAGGAATGTATTCAGGCAAAACAGGTCCCTCAGTTCGATTGACAGCTTGGATCTTTGTCATGTGTCCAAAGGTTAGCTCACATTCTCTTGGAATGAACTGAATTTTGGGTTCACTATTCTGACTGGAGCATTTGCAATTTCATATTTTTTTCTTGTGCTCAAAGACTTTTTTGAAGTGATCACATTCATCTCCGAATAGAGTAGCTTTCATGTTGTTACCCTGTAGTGTAAGGGAAAAAAATCATGTTAAGCAGCATTTAGCAACAAATATGAATAAAAGAACTGTACATGTTTGGATAATACCTCATCTTCTTCAAAAACCATTTTTTGGAACTTTTTCTTGTTAGGAGGAGATTGGATTGGGGACTTTTCTTTCACAGTAACTCGAACTTTGTATACTTTGCTTACAGGTGAAAGCTTATGCAAAGGTGTGTATTCAGGCTTCATCTGTGGGACATCAATGTTTAATAGAAGTGCTACATGTACTCTAATTATAATTAGTTAGTTTTTTTTGTTACACTTTATGCATTGTTAGTCAGCAATCAAGACTAACTAAATATTAAAAACAAGTGCAAACAACTTAAATGATGTGGGTTGTATGTCATAACTTCCTGTCATTAGTATTCAATGCTAAGGCACATGAGAGAATCTAGCAATGAATAAATAAGTACTTTAGGGCTTGCTTTTAACTTGCAGGTAATAAGGAGCCACTAAGTCATATATAAAAGGAAGGTAGGTGTTCACAAATTCACAAGTTGTTTTCTTCATTTTCTCATTCACTATTGTATCTTAGCATTTTCAAAATAACATAGTAAGCAGCAATGGCCAGCAAAGGCAAGGGTAAGATGGAAAGCAGCAAGCAGCCAAACCCAAGATCTGTAGAGGAAAGGCTTACTGTTCTTGAGAAAAAGGTGGAGAACCTAGAGGCAGTGGTGGAGGCACTTTGCTTTGAGCTAAAAAATAAGCAGACAAGCCCAAAGAAAGAAACTCCAAAAGAAGGAACCAGCAAAGCTAAATTTTCTTACTGCTTGGATGACATCCACCACCATTCAAGCCCTTCATATTCACATAAGAGTGATGCTTCTTATGGTGGTTGTTTCTAAGGGGACTATTAATTCAGATCCACAGTTGTTTCAGGTTTTTAAGGTTACTGTTGTTGGTTCATAAGTAATAGGAGCTTATTAATGCTAGCTATTATGTATTATTAGTTATCAGATGTGTTATAAAAGTAGTAGTACTCATTTAATTTGTTGCTATGTAGTCAGCTTGTATTCTGTCTTATGTGTTTATTATTGTATTGGTGTTGTGTGGATCTAATTATTGCCTTTTCCTTTGGTAAGCATTACATATGCAAAACTAAGTTGTTCACTGTATTTACATAAACTGTGTTGTTATGGTGGGATAAAAAAGTAGCCTTTCATGTGGACTTGAAAATAAAGAGAACTCTGACCATTATAAGCTAGTGCTATGTAATTGAAATAAGTCCAGACCTTTAATAGTAGTGACTAATACATAGAACTAACTAAGCAGTCCATGTAAATGTCAGAATTATTAGCATTCTACCAAGCAAGTTTTGTGTGAAAAGGAAACTGTAGCCTTAGCAAAACAAAGATCTACACCTATGACTACAAAAATGAACATCTTTCACAAGGCCTAGATTTTATATTAAAGATGTCAAGGTACTAACAAAAGTTAGGCTAAAGGATTTTGATTGGTTTTCAATATAATTCATGATAAAAGGCCTTAAAAATCGACATTCAAACATTAAAAGCATGCATTGCACATTCCACAGATCCAGTATTTAATAGACCAAAAAGAACATCAAATTGCTTAAATAATCAGACTTACTTAGCATATAAGTTAAAATATGTTATTTAGCTAACATGGAATCTTAGTGGTCAAGCAAGTAAGCAGGAGATAGTTTATCTGGTCAAATTTTGCTAACTAAACATAAAAGACAACATGCCATTGCTAAGGTAAAAGGAAATTAAGAAAAAAGAAAATGTTGGAGCTAAATTGTATAGGAGAAGCATTTATGAACGTACCTTGTTGGAATGGATTCGTAAGCAATTATTTCTACCACACAGCAACAGAGAACCAAAGTGACAGAGAGAAAAGTGGTGGAGTAAATGTTCTTTGTGAAATGTTAGGATCTTTAATAACAAGGGAGTATTTTTTGACTTAACATGAGTTTCCTTGTAATATCCAATATATTTCACTATGTGTTGAAGCATTCAATTGTCCAGCAGATAAAGAAGTGTATAGAGTAAGAAAATGGCTAGAACCTGTTGTCTAGTAAAATCTTGTCAGCTAAATGTCAAGTGATAGAATAATTGTTAAAGCAATATGAATTTATAGTACATTTACAATTGCTACGCTAAATTATTTTCATATGAAATCTCTTCGTATAACTTTTAAAATACGATGTAACATGGTATGGACCAGCAGTTAATAAGGTATATGTAGTTAAAGTGATTGAGGGCATTTGTTTTGTGGGTAATAGAATGCAAGAGGTTCTGCTGCAATGCAGCTGCAAAAGTGAAGGTGCAATCAAAAAAGCAAAAGTAGGATTTGCTTCTTTGTAAAATCAGAATTAGATTTTTTTTGTAATAAGGTTAGAAAACGTAGGATATTGCTATTTTTGTGTTACCAGCTTCAAGCTATATAAAATATCAGAAGTAAGTTGAACAGTGCATAAAATAAGTACATGCAAAAGGTGCATAAGTGGTACTATACATACATATTATAAACATAGTAAATGGTAGAAAATAATCGGATTGTCAACAAAATTATAATTTCTACTTGACCAAAAAAGTGTAACAAGGATTTTGAACAATTAACCTGGGTTTTCCAAGTACAATGAAATATAAAAGGGAAAGCACCTGCATTTATAACATGTTTAAGATAATATTAGTTAAGATAGTAATAATAATTGATTGAAAAATGAGCTGGCAGCTTTAGTAGATAGGAAGTAATACCTTCAAACAGATGCATCATGTTATGCCAGATAATTGCAAAACATCATACGCTACTACGTTTTTCAGCACTGGTGATGTGTGGTGATCAGCAGGTTGTGGTGTGATTACAATGACCTTAGCTGACTTATTCGCCCTCGACAACGCAACATACAGCTGCCCATGAGATAAGCATGGTTATGGTAAGTAAACTATCACTCGGCTTAATGTCTGCCCTTGAGATTTGTTAATGGTCATTGCAAAACTGAGCTTCAAAGGAAACTATATCCGTTCAAACTGAATAGGATATTTTGTTGATGATGGAGGCCGGAGATTAACACGATGAACTAATACAAGTTCTCCTTGGCAATGACTAGTGGCTATAGAACAAACAATCACATTCCTTCTGAAAGACTTGCATATAAAACGTGTCCCATTGCACAGGCCATCTGCTGGATCAATGTTCCCGAGCAATATTACAGGGCTGTTTATTTTTAGAACAAGTTCATGTGGAGTCATAGCACCAGGTGCAAGCTGGTTTAGGAACTCTGTTGGGTAAATTACACAGTTATCATCTAGCATGCTGTCAAAACTCTTGTAAACAACAGAGTTCCTTGGAAATTTATTAATACTAAATGTGTTGATGGAGTCAACTACATCATTTAACGGTGTGAGTATGGCTCTCTCTCTGAAGATATCTGGTGAGAAGGATGCATGTTCTAACTCTAGGAATGCAGTAGCAGCAAGGTAATTGATAGGATCATCGCCTTCTTGATAATAACTCACAATGTGAGCAGGAACCTGAACAAAAGCATTTCCAGTACACTGCAACTGGCCATTGCCCAAACTCAATAGAAATGATGCGTATGGGAGATCTTCTCTAGCTCTGATGTTTTCAATCAGGTGTAACTTTTCTAGCCAAGGCTAAATATATGAGTTAGCTAGGCTTGCTGCAACAGCCTCTCTTTGAGTTTCTGTGATATGAGAATTTCTGTGATATGAGAATTTCATAATCAAGCTTTAAAAAAACTCAGTTATAAATAACTAACTAAGTAAGCAGTATATCATTACACACAAATGGTGATTCATATCTTGGTAGATAAGCTTATTAAAGGTAAGAAAATTTTCCACTAAGCCAAGTTTCCTTTTTATGCTTCTATAAAGTGTTTTTGGTAAGCTGCCATTAATTAGTACTCACTGTTTATATATAGTATTTATGTAGCAACCTTTTGTCTCATGGACAATGAGCATTGAATTGTTTTGTGTGTCACAGTAAGGTTTGTTTATTAAAGTGGTATATTGAGAAAAATTCATTACAATGTCACTGTTTGTTAAATTTTGCCTAGCCTTCTTCTTTTTTTTCCCCCTTTTAGCAAGATAGTTTACCTTTTAAAAAACAAGAAGACTATACAGTATCAAAGTGAAAAGGGCATTGTGAATTGTAAATTTTTTATAAGAATTTCATGGCCAAGTACTGTTGTACATTAGCTTAGCTTACTTTCACTAAGCTAGCTGTGTTGTAGCCTCACAAGTATCTAAACTTTTTTTTTTTTTTACAGTTTTTACTCTTATTTTAGTTTTGTATTGAATATGGCAGGAAATGGGGATGAACTTTCAGCAGTGCAAAAAGGCAATATAGAAGCTAGACTTTGAATTCTAGAGCTCAAGGAAGCTAATTTACAGGGAAAATTATCTGCTGCAATGGCCATTCATTCAGATGTAGGAAAAAGATTACCAAGTTAAAGAGGAATTAGATGAACTATCAAATGAGATTCTAGAAGTCAGGAGCTTTGGTGAAGGGAAAAGAGCTCGAAAAAATGTTGCAAGCCATGTTGATGAGTTTGTACCCGTGGTGCAGTTAGGGAAGGCCCAGATGCTGAACTTGGGAAAGATGGTGTGGTTGCTGTTAATGATGAAGGTGATGGGACAGCTAAGAAAAATGTGGAAAATGACATTGTTGGAGACAAGAAAGTGGAGAGTGATGTAGTAATTGGCCACTGGTGGTGGGGATAATACCAGAAGAAGAGACTGATGGAATGATCATGTTAATGGCTTGATTACAAAATTTCATTGTAATGATCCTGATAATGCTAGGAAAATAGTATGGGTTGAATTTTACATTCTGGTTGTTAATTTGAAAACTGTTAGAGACGTTACTACTTTACAATCATATGAATATGTTTGAATTTTAGATCAAACTGCTCTTGTTATTATTCAGTCAAAATGATATGTAATTTTGATTTTAAACATGCATGCTTAATAATTTTCTTAGCTCGTGGTTTCTTCAATTTTTGGTTTCTTGTTCTGCCTTGCTCACTTGTTTCACCTATTTCCCTATATGTGCAACGGAAAAAAATATAAGAAACAATTGTTTGTAACCATTTAATAGAGATAAATATGTATTTTGATAACAGTGGAAAGTAGAAAAACCTTATACAAACAGGTTGTTCACACATAGAAGTGTAGACACCCAAATGTGTCTCCCCAACACAAAACCCAGTGATGAATACCTTTCATGTCATTTGATTATCGAACATAGCAAAAGTGTGAAAAGTCTAGTGATGAGGATGTTTTTATTAAAATATCGTTTCTTTCTGTTTTTGAAAATATTTCTTTTCTTACTCTATTTATGAAAAACGTGCATTCCAATTTAGTTTGGTTCATTATATGGGTCCAATAATAGTGTAGTTGGATAGGGTTTAAAAAGACCTTTACAACGATATATTATAAGCCCAATTTCGAAGAATAATGAGGAAGTTATGGCCAAAATACTAAACTGGGTCCGGTTTGGTTCTTACAAACGACCCAATGATCTAGAGGAGGGCCTATTATTAATTATCATTCCTAAAGCTATTAAGATTTATTATAGTCTTCTAGAATACTCTATAAGGTTCTTTTGAATCCTAATGGAGTTAGGACTGATAATTATGTTTCAAAGAGTTTGAAATTGAATAAAACTACTCCTTTTGAGAATCCTTGTTTTGTACGAGATGGAATATATTCAGATTTTATTTTTTTCCTCATAATATTTATACAAATCTTATATGGTTGGATAGATCTTGAAATTATTTTTCCAGTGATATATTATAATATTAAATCCGAGCAATAACGAAAAAAGATATGATGAATGGAATATGAAACTCTATAAAAACCTGACACCCTTCTACTATTTCGGCCATATCTTTTTATCTACAAAATATTTTAATCTGAATCCAATTGGATTGGAAACTAGACTTCAAGATATTTCCAACAACATATTATATGCCTTATTTGAACTTTTGGATCAAAAGATATGATAAAAACAAAATCCGCAAAAACTGTCTTGCAGCGCCGGACGACTGGCCTGTCGCGCGGCGCTTCATCCTGTCGCGTGGCGACAAGGGCAGTTGCGGCGACAACGTCGTGTTTTATTCTTCTTAAAATTCTGATTCTTTTTTATGATGTTCCGGCTTATTTTCGTTATAAATAGCCTCCTTAACCTACTTTTTGAATTACCAACTCTCATCAAGAAATTCTTGATACTCTCTCTCTCTTTTCTAAACCAACTTTTCACAAAAAAAATTCCGCATTCACAAGATTTAGACACACGTAGCATAATTTGAAGTTTCCTTCGCCCTAGACGTGAAAGGTTTGATATTTCTGAGGGTTTGGCCCCAAATCTCTATTTTAATTATTTAATTTAATTCTTTAATTTTATATTTTCTTTGAAGTTACAAACGCGTGTATTTTGTTATTAGAAAGAGGTACGAGGCATCCAAGTAAGTAATTTAATTGTTAAATTGATATTATGATATAGAAATCATGTTTAGGTTGTTATTTTGATTCCTAGTATCATGATAGGATGTTTTTCTTAGTATGATGTTTAGGGTGACAACAATAAGTTCCTTATATCAATTATGATTTCTATGATGTTTTTTATTTTCTTTCTTAATATTCATCTTGATATCATGTTAGGGCTAAAGCTTTAATCTTTATTGTTTAGTGACATGCTAGGATTTAATTTGTTATTAATCTTGTTAATATCATGCCTAGGATCTTACTATTAATATTATTATGCTTTAACATGATTATGATAATTATTATTTTATTATGATTATTATAATGCTTGATATTTATATTGTTATTGCTTGATCACACCTTTTATGCATGTTTAAAGGGAATTGGTATTTGTAATCACGCTTAATAAGATAATTTATAATCTTTTTTAGGGTTAATATGATTATAATTCAAGTGATCACCAATAATAGATTTGTTTGTGCATTAATATTCAACCAACATAGATTAAACAGGTTTAGGGTTAACCTATTGATTGCATGTTAGTCAAAAAGCGCACATGAATACGAGAAGAGTAAAGTAGAGGCCTATTTTTAGGGCGGGTTCTTTCTCTTTTAGATTGGATTTGTACCTTCGACCCCGAACTTTCAGTTTTGGTTCTAGACCTATTGGAGTTAACGATCCATGTAACCTTCACCCTATGAATGGTTTACAAGTTCCTAAAACTTGTTGGCGACTCTTTTGCTCTAGCTTCCTTCCCTTTGGACGCCACCGTACTTTAGTGTATGATCACAGTGGGGTTCAAGTTTGGGGTAATGCTTAAAATATTCCCTACAGTTTTTGGCGACTCCACTGGGGAGGATTTCTATTTTAATTCTTGAAATTTATTTCGGCAATGATTTAGAATGAGTGGATGAGACTCGAAAAGTTCTAAGTATTTCATCTGCGTAATTTTGATTACATTATTGTCATATGCATAAAAAAGGTTCTCATTGGAAAGACCATCCGTAATGAGTCAAAAACATAGGATTTTTTTCACGTAGGAAATTTGAGGAATATCCTTCACAACTAGAACCGAAATAATGCTGCAAAAAACTAGAAAATTTTTACGAACACAGAAATCTGTTGAGGCATGTAGGAACTGGCGTCTAGAAAACAGAGCATGTCGCCGAAGATATGGCTCTGTCGCCAAGCGATAATTCTATCACCAGGCGACAGTCCTTGTTGGCTGGCGCTGCGTTCTTCCAATATCGAGCCAGAAATATGAGTTCTAATTTCGATCAGTTCTAGCACTATTGGCTCGATTCTACTTCCTGATTGAGTTTTTCTCACTTTTCTGAAACCCATATGTGTTCTACATATGGACATAACCCTCTGGGAATTCATGCTCTATCTACCTGATTGAACGCTCTGAGAAACAAAGGGTACATCCGAGAATGTTGAATTCACCAAACCATGGAAGTCGAGTTTAACTCGCGGGGTCCCATCTACTCGCGCCAACCCTTCCAAAGGTAAGGCTTCCGCGCGGTGCATCCGGAATCATAACCATGGACCCTATTTGACTATCTCATCATATCCTGAACTTTAGAGAACTAGAGCCATGGTTAGGTTGCAAACTCATTGCATCATTTGTGACTACTTGACTACTTGTACATCTCTTACTTTTACGTACTTATTATGTGACTAAACTAACCGTTTGGTTTGACTTGTGTTTGTAAATAAGTCTTAATAAACTAACCAATGACTAAAGGGCTTTTCTTAATTAATTTATTAATTAATTTGAGCTAAAAAATATACCTTAAATCGAGTCATAGTTCCTTTAAGTCAACCCGGATTTTTATTCCCGTATGCTGCACAAGTGTCAACTTGTTTTGGTCATAGCCGGAGTTATAGGAAGAACTACGAGTCTTATAAATTATGGATCTGTATCCCCGAGTTTGATCTTTAATTTGGCGTTGGTTTCTTCCCAATCAAAGTCACAGATAAAAAGTTATGACTAAAATACCACAGCCTGTCCAGTTTAATGCATATACATGAATTCTTAACTTAGTCTTTGCTTGAGTGTAGTCACATAGTCTAGACACGTGGTCATGACACGAGTCTTAACATGTCACCTACACTCACTAGTGTTAGCACACACTTTGTATATGTCACCATGGCCATGTCTTAGGTTTATGCATGAGTCGGTTTTTTCCGTCATTTGAGTTGGGGGTACTTTCTATTCGTATATTTTTCAT